GAGGACAATACAAAATAATCTCTGTCTCACACAGAATATTTAGCCTCTCTTTTCAGTTAGGCAAATGCAGCAGTTGAAAGGAAGAAGTAGTATCTAACAAGAACTAGAACAGGACAATACAGGCTACACTACCTCAAGAGAAAATAATTCAGTATTGCAACTGTGCTTGCAGCTCAGAAGGCCAGCTGTACCTGGGCTGCATCAAGAGAAGTGTGACTAGGTCAAGGGAGGTAGAAAAAAAGGAGGAACCAAGCCATCAAAAGGTTGGTTTTACTGACTAGATGACTCTGTTTGCTTATCCTTACAGTTAAGAAAGCTTGATTTGAGCATTTGTGCAGCCTTTCACTTGAACACTGAGAGGTTAACTCTCTGCATCAAGGACAAATACTGAACATAAGTGTGGAAAAAAATAAACACTGAATGGGAATTAAGTTCACTGAAGGGCTGCAGTGCCAAACAGATCAAGGAAGAAAAATCTGGCAAGGAAATTACAACTAGTTAAAACTTGAGGAGATGCAATGGAAGGAATCCTTAGAATTTCAGACATCAACCCATGTTTCTTACAGCCCTCTGGGAGACAAGGCTACTGCTTACATCACAGCCTCATACTTTAAACAGGCACTTGTAAGAGTCAGAAAGCAATTGTCTTTTCCTCCTTTATGCACACCTTTCTTTGTAACTTTTGTGTTTCCATGTCCACCCTTATCAATTTTTTTCCTTTGTGTCAGAAGAAGACAGTAAGGTAAGGAGTGGAGGGAGGTGTGGCCTTGTTTTTCAGGTATGTGGCTTTTGAAAAATTACATGAGGGAAGAAAAAAATCACAAGTGCACTGTCTTTGGCAGAATAACCTACCATTTACTTGGCCTCTTTTGCTCTCTCCCTATGAGACTGTGAATTTTCATCTTCAACTGATAGTCAGCATTTGTTATTGCCAAAAAGCACTCTGCATGGCTATACAGCTCAGGTAGACAATCTAAATGAAACAGCTACCATCACCTGCAATTGCAGAGGGATGAAAAACAACGTAAATTATCATTTCTGTTTTTTTTCCCTTTCCTAATTCAGTGAATCCATGTTCAGTTTATTAAGCCATCTTTTAACAAGTGTATGAAAGCTCTGAATCAGATTATCTCATCCAGAACATCATTTTTTGATGCATGTGTTTCTGACTAGGCCTAAACCTAACACTTCTCTGAACTGGATACCACCTCATGGGATTATGACTACCATGTCTACCTACAGAGATATTTTGCAATTATGATAGGAATGCTTGTCAAATCTTCCATTCTGCAGTTCTTTTTAAGAAAGATATCTTAGTTTTTTTCTCCTACCTCTGTAGAACTCTTTTTTTTTTTTTTTTTTTTTTAAACAGTGCAAGCAATATGGGGAAGAATTTAAAAACTTTAAGAAAACTAATCTGTACAACTTTCTTAAATCCCAATTGTTCATTTATTACAAGGCCTTTTTTAATTTCTTTTGTGCTATAAACTAGCAATATCCTTGCATAGTTAGATAGCATGACTAGATATGCATTATCTAGCAACTGGCCTAAACAACCTCTACAGATATCATCTAGAAATAATCTCTCAGTTTAAGCCTTTTCCTAACTATTGCCCATTACCAGAACATAGCGGTTTGAGTAGACCACCATTTCACAGTGAGAAAGGGAAAAAAACACTGCATTTTGTTTAAGGTACAATTCTTAATGACATGAAAATGAAAGTCTAAACCTCCATCATTGACATTAGTTACCTTCAACTCAAAGGCGTATCAACCATCACTGGTATAACCTTAAAGAAAAGGGATATTATAGACTCAGACAGGTATTCTCCAAAACATATTTTTAATATAATCTGCATCTGGAGCCTCCAGAGAATGTAAGCACAGAGATAGGTTTTTTTTTTTTGTTTTTTTTGTTGGTTTTTTTTTTTTACATTGATGCTAAAGCTAAATTACTTCACGTAAAAAAGAAACTGCAATGTTTCCATACATGAAGCTCACCCTGCACAGGAATTCTTTATGGTAGAATGGAAGAGATACAAAATCAGTTAAAACCAAACAAACAATACCTTTTCATTCTGCCCTCACTGAGGGTTCAACAAGTACATTCACACTCGAAGCCAAGAGTTATGGACAGTCTAGTAGGTCTCCCATTGATTTTCTCATAGTTACTTTGAAACATCAAATACCACTCGACTTTATTGCAGTCACATAAAATAGAAATTAGTGTTAATTCTACACAGACACATCTGTCAACATTTCAGAGTATAACATGCATTCCACTCTGTATATTCCAAAGCTTGAGGAAGTTCTTTCAACAGTAGTCATGTTCTGTCACCATCACCTTGCAGCTGATATAAAACTGAGGAGAGGCACATTTTTATCCCCTTTTAAAATACTTTTGTAAAGATTTTGCTATGGCATTCTATTCCTTTTTTTTTCTTTCCCTTTTTTAAGTGTTTTTGTTTTTCTTTTTTTTTTTTTAATTTTAAGTGTTTTATTAAAAAAATTGAAAGTTTAATTTCAATGAGCTGCAAAACATTTATTAAGAGAGAACTTTTTGAGGACTTCAGAAATACACAAAATAACTTCCTAGCCAGGGACTGCTGTGAAGTACAAACGGAAAATGAACTGTTGCCTTGCATTTCAGAAAGTGCATTCATATTGCACTTAACAAGAACAGAGACGTCACAGACAGCTGGAACCTTGTTACCAGTATGATACAAGAGCAGGAATATAATCTTAGAATTTGATAAGTACAGCATCTCACTTTTTACTACAGTACTGTTCATCTACCTGGCTGAAGTATTTCTGTTGAAGCCCAAGAAGAGTGGAAGAAAAACTCTAATGAGAATTTCTATCCCTGCTCCCTCCTCATAATCCCCAAATACACCTTAAAGAGGTCTTAACAAGCAAGGAGGTATCTTTGCACTTGTAAACTGCTTAATCAGTTTTAAAACCTGTGTCACCCTTGCTGAGCATTGCAATTTTTTTTCCACAGTGTTCTCAACATTTTTTGTGCTGGTAGCTCTGGAACTGCACACTTTAGCAGAGAAAAGCCCAGATATGACAAGAATAGTTAAAGTTACAACAAAAAACTGTGTTCTGAATGTATTCCAAATGCTCTTTAGTTCATTGCCCTGCCCACATCAAGTTCAGCTAACTGTACTATTGCATATAACATCAATAGGTTTCACTAAAATCACTTTACTGCCACCTCTGAATGAGTAACAAGTCTAAAAACAAAACAAAACCTCTTGTCCAGAAGGTTTATATCTAGAATGCAGTGGAGACAACACTGGGCTGAACAAGGAGCTGAAAGAAAATCTGTTACTGCCCATCAGCACTGGCCACAATGGTATGAGCATATATAACAAGGCCTGCCATGCTGCTCCTAATCAAAAAATCCTGAAATCAGTCCATAACATATTATCTGACACAGGCCCTGTACTGATTTTTTTTTTTTTTTTTTTTTTTTAATGAAGCAAAAATTAAAAGAGTAAACATACAGGTCAAGAAGGAAATGGAAAAGACAAATGCACCAAGTATCTGGCAAAAATCACAACACTGAGTTCAGCAGATAGCCTCAACATCATGAAAAATTAACTTCTGAATGGAGGTGATGCGCTTCAGAAATTGACATACGTCAACAGGTATTTAGACAGAACTATACACAATAAATCAATACTCTATCACATAAGACAGTTTTTAAAATTAAAGCAAATAGTCCATAGAATAGGCCTTCCCTGAAAACTTAGTCTCCACTGGACTTACATATATTCAATGATAATATGCTTTCCAACCATTTTGGAAATGTCTTCCATTCAAGAGAATAGACATTGTTTGCTAAAAGTTAATTTTTAAGATTATATTTCTGGGCTAACAATGTCTGAATAACTCATTTTAAACTGGTTATTAGAAAATTATGAAGACAAATTTAAACTAAAATCACCAAGTAAGATTCCAGAGTATTAAAAAAACCCAAGGAAGTTAAAATCTGTCTATTTATAAATTGTAAGCTATAGAAAGAGAAGTACGCTTGTGACTTGGTATAATAATATGGATTATTTATACTGTGGCATCATTTCTTGATTGCCTCTACTTACAAAGTAGTAGATAAGCATAAAAAATAAAAATGAGGAATATAAAAGTCAAGCTATTGTTCTCAGAAAGGACAATTTGGGTGGCACATGTTTTAATCATCAGAAACCAGAAAAATCCAGCTAATTCAACTGTTTACCTTCCAAATACATTGTATTATCTGGATTTCTTCATTCCCAGACTTTCAAAAGTGTACACGTGGCATGGGATAAGCAGGTGAAAGTCACTTTTAAATAAATCCGAAAAGTGACAATACACCAATGGCACTTTCAACATAACTTTGTTTAAAAACATTCCTGTATTTTTTTCAAGAATGACCAAGCTAGAAGTGTACACTTTAAAAAGAATCTCAGAGTCGTCAGAAAGCAATGAAGACCTATTCTACCATGCTCTCAAGATACATTCTTCCTCAACTTAATTCACAGAAGACAAAGAAGTTCCAACATAAAGTTAGAAAATCAAAAACTACTCTGTTATAATAGCTTTATCTAGTTAATTTGGCCTTTAAATTTCTATAAATCTGATGAAAGCCATAAGCCAACTTATTGAATCTCTGGAGCAAGAAGCCCATAGGTATGCTTACTACCCACCAGTGGAATGAAACCTTAAGTCAACAATATCCAATATGCTAGGCTAAGAAACTTACAAGCGTATTTTACTCAACAGAACTGAATTTCACTTCAAGACATTCGCAGGGCTAATGTGCCATAATATAATCTACTATTAATCAACAGTAAAGTGCTGAATTATATTAATTACCTGAATTGCACATTTATGATCTCCATTTATAGATTTAACAAGTCAAAAGAGCCCTTTCTGTTGTAAAAGCTAAGCTGTTGTGCAAATATTATAAAAATAGGTACTTTCATCAGGAGCTTTATACACAACAGAATTTCTGCTTTTTTTTTTTTTTTTTTTTTTTTTTAAGTATAGCCGACACACTAGAGAAAAGAACATGCAAGTATTCGTAAAGATATTCAAAATGAAAAAAAGGGACACCTCTATAGAACTTCCAATACTTTGCCATACAGCCACACAGTCAAAATAATGTTAATTGATGTCTAGATCTGGACTGATAAGCGTCATGCCACCAACATGCTTTAGTTGCTTTTGTAGCTAAAGTTGATTTGTAAATTTAAACTACAGCATTCGTTTGATCTACTTCTCATTAAAGTGTATCGTTAAGTCTGAAGTTAAACTTTGAACAAACTTCATATCTAGTCACATAACCAGCACAAGCAAGACATGACTGCAAAGGGCAAGGTGTTAGCTGTATATAATGAGAACCCTCCCACTAACTGTATGATGCAACAGAATGATTTTCAGATTTAAAGTTCAGGGGAATTATCATGTGAAAGATTTTCTTCTCCTAAACTTAGCTTAAATCTCCTGAGGATCAATAGGAAAGAAACCGCAGTTACAGCACTCAGAGAAGTAAAATCCAGGTGTGGAGAACTGGTAAATAGTTTCAAAATGTATCATGCTATGAAGCCAGCATTCTCAGAAAATCTCCAAAACAAACTGCAAAATGAAATCTACATTTAGTTCAAAATTGGCCAAGTGCTGCATAGAAGTATGCTCACACGCAACAGTCGTAACTCAACCAGTGCATAGAAAAGATAAAAGCACTTATGGTAGTTGCAAATGTTAACAAGTCCATTCAACTTAAACACTTTAGCAGTGAGTCCATAAAAAAGAAGAGAGTAAAAATGCTCAAGAAAAAGAAAAACAAAGATGACCTTCCAACTGTATAAAATCCATATGACAGTTATAGTATAAGACTTCAGTGGAAAACACTCAACTCAGTTCCAAAGAGCCATCAGGCAATTAAGACCAGAATAGACAAGCCTTTGGCAAACAGTTTTAAGAGTCTAAATATGGCATTTCATTTCTAATTAACTCACAAAATATATTATATGGCATACATTAAATACCAGGTAACCAACTCCGCCAAACTGATGCTAACAATGCTTTAGCTAATGAAAGCAAGATGGAGCAAGCTAAGAGAATGCTGGTGTATCACAACATTGTTCAAAGCAAAACATTGTCACCTAGTCGTGCTTCAGATAAAACAGTGCTCTGGGATTTCATACTATCATCTATGGAGCAAAATAAAGTTCTCTAGTTTTTCAGGGATGTGGCCTGAATAGTATATGTTACGATTCACTACAACACGAGCAGCAAGACACTGCAATGTAATATGATTTATGGGCTGGATTAAGTTTTTGGCTATTTCTTTATCATCCAGCAAATCACTAGCAGTTTTTCCACGTGAGTTTGTGGCATCAAAGTGTGAACCTGAATTAATGAGAAAATTCATGATGTCTGGATGATTGTTCAGTGCAGCAATGTGCAATGGACTATTGTTGTCAGAGTCTCTGACATTTACATCAGCACCACATTCCACCAAGATAGCAGTAACTTGTAGAGAAGGGAATTTACAAACTGGGTAGCGACCCACACATGTAGTACTACTGTCAACAGCAAGGTGAAGTGGACTGAAATTATTCTTCCCTCTAGGCTGAAGCTTAAGAAACTTATAAATAGTCTGTTTCTTAAAATACTCCTGTTCTGAACTGCAAGGTACCTTCTCCAACAAGCAAATTAAATGCAAAATGATGGCAAGGGCTTTGTTTAGTTGTATTGGATCAGGAGGACACTGGATTTGTTTCATGGCCCGCTCTATTTCAAGAACACTTTTACACAGTATACCCATCAGATCCTCAAATGTAACAGTAGTGCCTAGTAGGCCTTTCGCCCTATCCTGCAGCATGAAGGAGAAAAGTTCAGCAAATGACAGTAAACTGCTGGATGTCATAGGGCTCAGCGGATCTAGATTGCTCTGCTGCATGTCCAACGCGTATTTCCACAAGTTGATGCAACGCTTAAAGTTTCCAGAGTCCGCATAGACAGCACCTCTGTATCTAATATAGTAGGATGTATCTGGGTGAGATGGGCCAAGAATACGTTCTCTAATTAATAGAGCTTGCATTCTCATCTCATCAGGGTCAGCAATAAGATTTTCTAGCTCTTCTGAGCTGTTTACCTCTTTAGCATAAGCATAAGCCATAATTAGTGTTTGTGGCACTGGCTTGCTCAGGATATTAGTTCTATCACTGTATCTCATTTCCATAGCTCGCTTCCAGTACTTCAAAGCACCAAGAAGATCTCTCTTTTTGTCAACAAACGTTGCTCCTAGAAGTTCCAGAGCATTTATGCACTCAGCCTTACTGGTTTGCACATGCTGGGTCAGAAAGTCCACAATATTTGTGTGGCCCGTCACACTAGCTGACAGAAGTGGAGTCATTCCATAACCATCCTTTTCCATTTTAGCACAGTACTTGAGAAGCATCTTCATGATCTCCAAACTTCCAGATTCTGCGCAATCATGTAATGCGGTGTTTCCTACACAAGAGAAGAAAATCAGTTACACAAACAATCAAATTATAGGCTAAATCCTACTGCTTTAACAGTTTTAAAAAGTCTGTTTTGACATTTATGCAACATGAAAGGCTTTGCAGACAGCTAAAATATTTTAAGATCTGACTAAAACATCAAGATTACAAGGCAGTTAAAGGAATCAAAATGCTTGATATTACTGTCTGAAGGAATTAGGAAAGTCTTACAGGCTTTTTTGTCTCATTCATAAAGAGAAAATTAAAACAGACTTCCCAACTACACACAAGATTTTTCTTTTAGATTTGCTTCTAAATAGGAAGCAAAAACTTTTAAATTGCTATCTTCATGTTTTCTTTTTCCTTCTTCACCTGTCAAGTTTTCCTCTCCCCATCTTCACCAATGTTTAAAAATAATGTGATCTGTATGAAAGCTAAAGGTGAACTAACTCAACAAAAAAATGCCTTCAACACAACACACAGCCATCTACTTTGCAAGAATCTTATTTACATTCAGATTATTTTTCTATGCCTGCCACTGCATAGTCTGTAATTTAAAAGGGCTCAAGTTCTAAAATTGTAGAGAAAGTTGTAGCACACACTAGTACCACTTGATGAAAAATAATACACAAAGCTAACGAGAAATAACATTGGACACAACAGTTAAATACTGAACTACTATGTTTCAAATAAATGAAAATTTTGCCCACTTTCAAATACAAATACATCACTGAGAAGTGACTGATATGAAAATATGAAAATAATAATTAACAGAAAGCTCATGTAACTTGTTCCTATTGCTTCAATTAGTTTTTGTTATATTATTAGCACTGTGAAATCCTAATTAACTGATTGCCAGATCATCCATTTCTATAACAGTCAGCAAGTTTCCACAGTCCCAACCAAGATCTTTTCCAAGATCACAGTCACTGGATTTTGATTTAAAAAAAAGAGAGAGAAATTTCATAGAAGTTTCTCATTTACATTTTTGTTAGGCTTTTGTATGCCAACAAGACAGCAGTTTGCAGCACGCTTTGTTGTATCCCTAGACCCACAAGAGACTGACAGCAGGTTAGGAAACAAAGTGACAGTCTTGAGATTTTAATACAATGTTTGGAAAAGCACACATTTAGCAGCCTTTCAGTTTTTAAAAGAGGATTAAAAATAAGGTGGGGAATCAACATTTATCACATAGTGATAGTACAACAGGGAATGGTTTTAAGCTCAAGGAGGAAAGGTTTAGATTGGATGTCAAGAGGAAGTTCTTTACAGGAAGAGTGGTGAGGTGCTGGAACAGCCCAGAGAGGTTGTGGATGCCCTGTCCCTGGCGGTGTTCAAGGCCAGATTGGATGGGGCCCTGGGCATCCTGGTCTAGTAGTAAACATGGAGGTTGGTGGCCCTGCCTGTGGCAGGAGGCCTGGAACTCGATGATTCTTGGGGTCACTTCCAACCTATGCCATTCTGTGATTCTATGCACAGTTCAAATAACTATGATAAACCATTATTCTGACTTTTAAAATTCCATCCATTTCAAAAATACTGCACTATCTCCAGTGACATGAATAAACAGTGGCTAAATGTTATCTATGCATTTCAGAAGCTAAGCAGTCCTGCACCTGTAACATTATTTATTTAGAAATAAACCAAAATAAACACATCTACTGCTGTATTAAAAAGAAAAAACTTAAAGAAAGGCATTTGAAAGTCACTTTGGTAAGCAACTTTCTAAGTGGCAAAACTTGAATTTGACATCTTTTTTGCATGTTTGGGTATTTTTTGTTGTTTTTCTTAAAGTTGTGGATGATATTTCAAATAATATATTACTAAACGCTGTTAAATCTATTTTCAATTCTGAAATCATTTGCAGGAATTTGATCACATATAGAAGACAGCAGATGTTACAAGAACATGGGAGGCTCATCATTTTTGCACAGGAAGAAAACTGAACTGGCAATGTTACAGTAGGCTGGGTAATTCTTTGCTGGAGACCTATTGCTGGGACATTGCATTGCTAATACAACTTAAGTTTCTGTCTGTAATAAAAAAAAAAAATTACTCACACTACCTAATAACTTATTCTAATTAAAAACTGTAATGAAATGAAAAGGGAGTAAGTCCCACCTCTGGTCTTCCCAAACTTTGCAAGAAAAGATTAGGGAAAAAGCTAGTCATTTCTCATCATAACTGCCTGCTTTTTTCTTTTGATACTTTTTTAACATATCACAAGCATTACAAAAACATCTTCCGTATCACAGATCAAATCCCTAAGTCTCCAGTGTTACAAAACGCTCATTTGGGTAGGGATTCAAATTTGTAATGAGGTTGTCTCTTTCTATGTCAGAAAGAAGTAATTCCCAGAATAGATCTGTAACACAGGAATCAAAAGAAAGCAAGACTGTGACACAGAAAATTATTAGACTTGATTTGCAACCTATATTAAGTACACTCACTTCCTAACAGAAGGAAAAAAAAAAGACCAGATTTCTGGTAGTAAAACTTACATTAAAATGTTGTACCAATCTGACTTCATATCCAGGATCTGTTTGTGAAAATGAATACTAAGCTGTTGAACATTACACATCATAGAAAAAAGATTTAATTAGAATGACTGACTAGTGTGGAAAACCAGCCACGTGTATCTACTCAAGCATCCTTACAGATTAAGTTAATCAGTTTTTTTTTAAATGAAATTGTTTGCATAACACTGATTTTCAGTACAGCTCTGGAAGCAATTCAATCCTTCAGCAGCTGTACTGATTTTTTTTATTAAAAAAAATAAGATATACAGAGCTATAACATAGAAATAAGGTAAGAAAATTTTCACATTTTTTACACACTGTATGTGTAACAAAGAAATGCTCTGGGTAGGTCTTCCTCGTAAGAAGAAATCAAGGGCAAATTGTAAAGAACTGCTAAGCTTAATAAGTTTTAGTGGATTCTTGATATTCTATAACAAGAATAATTGCATCCCTTGCTCACAAATGTATTTCAGGATAACTTCTATTGTCAAGACTAACAATACAAAGTATATTGTTAACCATTTAATTTCACTATAAACTTGCCTTTAGTTGGAATCATGATTTATTTCTTTAAACTGTATCTTCCTTATTTTACTCCCAGTCATTCCCACTGAGGTTCACATCGCATCATATACAGAAGACCCAAAAACGTAGTGCTCAGCCAAAACAAGGAGAAAAAAAACTAAAACAATAATTAAAGATTTTTTCTTTCCTAACAGTTTTGAGCATTACACTTTCCAGTCTTCCACACAAAAAATGGAACTGAAATACAGTACTACTGTTTGAATATTCTTGATAAAGAACTTGTAGTGACTGAGGTCTGCATACTTCCATTGCTTGCAAAATAAGCAAGCCAAGTAAACAATACTCATCCTTCATGTTATTTTATAAAGTCATTCCAATCAAATTCTGTGCTATAGCTAGAATAACCTAGGGAGAGCAAGATTTTCAATTTAATCTGAAAATGCAAAAATAACACTACATTTTTTCCTCCAACCACTACAGCAGTACTAAAGGCCGTAAGTGACTGCAACCATGTGCTTAACTTGTGTATTTAACTTGTTAGTTTCAAACAAGTAAATGAATTTATATTACTGCACCAGGCCTGGGATGAGGGGAATAAAGAATAATGCAGAGTATTAGAGCATGTATAACTGATCCTTGCAACGCAAGATCTACGTGTTTTCTCTGGAGTTCCAAGTACAAGATTTGTTTAAAAACAGTCAGCAGGCAAAATAATTACACAAAATTCTTCATTTAAATATAAAATCCAATTCCAACAAACATAACTCCAGATCTATCACCAAGAGAATCCAAATCAGTAATCACAAGGTACAGCAAAGACAGCTATCACTTCAAGTGCATCAGTAGGCACTTCCTCCCTGTACTGACCAGCTAAAAGAAATACGTTAAACATGTATTCAAGAAACTACAAGACTATTCTTAATGTGGCAAAAGAGCACTACCTCTTAACTACAGATCATTTGCAGAGTTCCCAATATAGACAAACAAGAAACTTCATGCAGCCAAAATGTGGAAAGTTCCTCCTCAACCAATCGGCAGTCAAACTTCTCACAAGAAAACCCAGGTTTCTCCGTTAATAAGCAACTTGAGAGCTTTACCATCTTTAGATTATGAGAGCTTTTCTTTGGGGGAAAAAAAAAAAAGAACAGAGATTAATAGCTGCCCAAGATTTTTTATACCAGTGAAACTTTAATATGTAGATTGCTTCAAAAGTAATGCTTCCTATTTACTTCCAAGGAAACTACAAAGAGCACAGTAACACTATTTGATAGTGCAAATTCCCACCTACAGAATGCTGCTTTTCAAAATAGCTGCCACCATTAGCTACGCATTTTTGCTCACAGTGAAATACAGTCTGCAAACCACACTCAAAGTCTGTGCCAGAAGTGACCCACTATCACTACTACTGAAACACACCTCTCACAACCTCACTGTGCTGACATCCACTGCTAAGTCCCCACTGACATTCAGCAAGCATTCATGAATGTGAACAGGTGCCGTTTTTTCCGCGTGGAGGAATTCACCTCCACACCTTCGCTTCACACACACTTCCATGTCAGATGCCATTTTGTTATACTGTCCCTTCACTGCCATCTATTGCACAGCAACAAAATTCAGTGGAATACTGTCAGGAAGACTCAACTGCCATACCACCACCATGCACCTCTGACATTCTGGGCCAACAGAATAAAACAGGAGGCATTACTTTCAGAGCAGCTCTCATTTCTGTTAATTTTATTCCGTAGCTTCTCAAGACAGGAGTAGTGTATTGGAAATGCCTATGAACTAGGCAAACACTCCAGCTTTCCTTTTGAATATGCTTCATTTTCTCCCTGGAATAACCAACAAAGATGTCTTCCCATTTTTCCCTAGATTTTCAGAGTTTTGAAAATGTGAATAAAATCCTATCTTACAACATAAAATCTGTTGGAGAAATACAGTGGGTAGACCAAGCAATTTAACCCAACTGCTTTCTGATTTAGAGAATAGTATATGTAAGAAAATATGTAATAAACTCCCACAAACAGCAATTCTCCAGATCTACCTCTAGAGAAGTTGCACCACTTTGATTTTATAGAGAACTTGACAATTCTAAGTGCTGCAAAGTTTACATTAAATACATCTTTCACAGAACAGCAGACTTCCCCATAAACGGCCCAGGAAGGAACCTATCTAAAAAAGAGTTCAGATACAGGAACAAGATCTACTTCTCAAGAGCAGAACACTCAAGTCTTCCATCTTTCTACTACCCTAGCCTTAAACCTTGCCAATTCTTTAATACACAGCGGGGAGGAGAAACTGAAAATAATGAAGAGATGGAATACAACAATGTAGCACAAATCCTGCTGGAAATAGGAAAATACACTTTGATGAGTGATAGAGATCACCACCCAGATGGTGGTGAGGCACTGGAACAGGTTGCCCAAGGAGGTTGTGGATGCCCCATCTCTGGAGGCATTTAAGGCCAGGCTGGATGTGGCTCTGGGCAGCCTGGTCTGGTGGTTGGCGACCCTGCACATAGCAGGGGGGTGAAAGTCATGATCACTATGGTCCTTTTCAATCCAAGCCATTCCATGATAGTCACTTTGAAATTAACAGCTACTGAATATCACTGGAAAAGTTCTGAAGGTTACTTCGTTGAACCTCAGCCCCTGCAACACTCATACTGCTACATACTACTCAGCTCTGTTCTCTCATCTTTCATGTTCAGGTTTTACAGTACTTACTCTCTTGCTCTACCTTCTCACTGCTTATTGAATAACTTCACAGATCTGATCACCTTAAGATGCCAAAACACATGCTCAAGTCACATAAGAGAGAATTTTTAAGTACAAAAAGGCAGGCCACACCTGGCCAAGATATATTATTCAAACAGAATCATTCAGATGCATTGCAGCTCAAGGTATTGAATTATTACAATCTAAATCATATCCAATCCAACTTTTAAATCAACAGGGAGCAGTTACACCTTAGTAACTTTTGCTTATGTGCCTAAGGTATGAGTCACACCAGAAACCAAAGGACATAAACAGAGTAAGGAACGAAGACAGAGAAATGAAAAGTAAGGAGAGAACTCTCAGGAGTGCCTTTCAGTTGTTTAAGCAAACAAAAAACCCTGACAGAGTAGAAAAGTAAAATAATAAGAAGTAGCAAATCTAAGTCTACTTCACCAACATGAAGGAATGAGACTCAGATTTCCTCCTCCTGCTCCCCACCCCCAATCCCCCCTCACCCCATTACATCAGATACTTAACAGCCTCTGTTCTGCCCTTACCTATCATGAAAAGGGACACATTCTGTTCAAAACCAAGAAGGATGCACATTTTATGCTCAATGTGTTGTTCCGAGAACCCTCTCTAAAAAAAATGACATTTTTGTCCTAACATATGTCCAAGATGATTCATAAATAAGCTTAAATCCTTACAAAGGAGGATTTATTTTTCTCTGCCTACACTTATGACAAATCTGTGTTATCTTGCTTTATGTTAACCCCCATGTCTGCATGATTTGCTGAAATAGAGTATATTTGCTTAACAGCTTTTTCAAATACATTACTTGCATGTTTGGCATTTACCAGTATAATATGATAATCCAGGTACAAAGTAAATTTTGACAGAATCAACCACAAACTGTATTATTTTCTGACAAATACAATTTAACCAGAAACAGGCAGTGGAAGTGTTATTCAAAAAAAAAGAACTTCAATTTAGCAAAAAAATATGCATATATTCAGAAAAAAATACATAAAATAAGCCACTGAAACACAATGAACACACAATCCTGGGTCAGTGAGATAAAAATTAACTGCAACCTGGAATACTTGTCATGCTTTTTTAGGCTAATATCATGACCACATAAAGCTCTGATGTATAACAAAACATAGCAGTGGTTCAACCAAACAAGCTACGCAATTCCTACTGAAGCCAAAATGTCAAATTTTCACTTTGAGTCTGCAACAGCAGGACTGCCTATGGTGTAAATAGTGAAGGGCATGACTCTGCCTCTATTTTGTAGATATCCTGATGTTATTGCTCAGCCACCTGAAACAACTTTTCTTTTTTTAAATTCTAATATGCACTTTTGTTTACTAGCATTTTAAAAAATAAAGGCCCCAAAAGATGCAAGAATATGAAGGTAGAGGAGGGGAAAGAGTAAAGTTTTCATTTCTTTTCATAGTAGGAAAGATTATTTTCTTTTTTTTTTACATCTTCCTCTATTCTAGTGTTAGTGACACAAGTCAATTTTAAGTAGAGCTTTTTTTTAAGAAAGCATTAAAAACCTAAAAATACATGCTTACACATTTAAGTATTTGACTCTATTAGCCAACAGTCATTCTCAGCAAAAGTTTATGTGCTCTTTGCATATGCATAGGTGTTAGTTCACATGACATTTTAAGAATGTGAGACTTAACATTAATCAGTCTAGAAAGAAATTGTCTTGTCAGTGTTAAAAGAGTACACTGAAGAAACAGTAAAGACATAGCTGAGTATAGTTTATCTCTTGCTCTTCTACATGAGACTATTTTTGGATCCTCACAGTCTCCTAAAAGAGTAATTCTATCTAGGAGCATAAAACAACTTACCTTTAACACTTTTTCTGTTAACATCAGCTCCTTTTTCAAGTAAATACTGAGCAATTTCTTTGTGGCCTTTGTAACAGGAAATCATCAAGCATGTGTGCCCATGCCGGTTTGATACTTCCAGGTCTGCTTTGTGCTCCACAAGGTACTTCACTATCTCCAAGTGGCCATCGAAACAGGCAGCTCTGAGGGGCGTTGAATTTGTCAGAGTTGTGTTGTTGACTGAAGCACCACGATCCAACAGGGACTGAACCACGTTTAAGTGGCCGGCAGCGGACGCTGCCCAAAGCGGTGGTGCTCCCTCAATGGTCTCTCCATCAAAACTCACCGAACCGCCAACTTCTATGGATGCAGAGCAATGGTCCAACAAGTACTCCACCATGTCAAGGTGACCATAACGGGCTGCCACCAGAAGTGGTGTGGCACCATCGGTTTTTTCTGACATCAGTAAGGCCACCTCTTCTTTTGTTTTGCTTGCCAGTAACTTGGAAAGGAGCCGCAGCTTGCCTTCACGAGCTGCATTGAACACCGCTGTCTTTAGATCCATCTAGCCTGCCGCCTCTCCAGCTCCGGGCAGATGCACGCCCGCTTCTTTCAGTCACGAATCTCCCGGCAGCACAACCGCTCAACAGCGAGCCCCCAAATTTCTCTCGGGTCGGTTTTACCTACACGGGACAACATGAAGTCCGTGAGCGAGGTCCAGACCAATCACCGACTCTCCTTGACAGATCTGCAAGAAAAGCAATCCAGAATGCTTCCACCCTCCCCGCAGACACCCAGCACGACCCACTCAGCGGCCTCTCGCGGACCCTCCCGGCGCTGCGCAGCGCCGCCCCAGGACGGCAGCCGGACCGAGCCCTGCCCAAGACACCGCAACCGCCGCCGCCCTGCCCGGACGGTTACCTTCCCGCGGGACCACCGCCACCACCGCTTTCACGCGGACGCTCCCGCCGCCCGCCGTCCCCGTTCCAGCGCCTCCATGACAGACCGCGGCCCGCCGCCGACGCTCAGCCGCGGCCGCGCACCGTAGGATGCAGCGTAGCCTGGCAGGCAGAACCGCCGCCAATGAAGAAACCGCGCGGGCGCCCGGCAGCCACTGGGGGCGGACGGAGGGAGGGACTACGCCGCCGCGGGAGCGCGGCAGGGCGGGAGGCGGAGGGCGGAAGGGGCGGATCTCCGCATGGCGCGGGGCGCGCTATGGCGCTCCGCCTCGAGGTGGCGCCTGTTCGTGTGGGTTGTGGGGTCAAGGAAAAGGCACAAGCGTGTAAATGGGAGCTATAAAGGGGTAGGGAGAATAGGGAAGTTTTGGGGGGTATGTAGATGGAGATGAGGAGTGATTGAAGGCTTACAAGTTTTAATCAGCGGTGTGTGGGAGGAATGTGAACAAAGGGAAGTGCATGCTGAGCGTCGAAAAGAATATCCTGGTAGGAAGGTGCTGTTAGGATGGAATCGTTTGTGGAGTTCTGGAAGCACTCTGACAGTCATTTATAATGGGATTGGACTGATCACAGTGTATATACGTAACATATTGGAGGGAAGGGAGTAGGTCTGCTCTGTAGGGAATAGGGAGGTGATAAACCAATGGACCTAAACAGAAATTAATTGTTAAATAAAACGTGGCAGCAATTATGCTGGGAGTTGTTGAAAAACACTTGAAAGTGCAGTAGTTGGTCACAGCCTATGTGGCTTCACACAGGGAGGTCTTGCTTAACTAATTTAATCTGCTTTTATGACAAGGTCACCCCTCTAGATGACCAAGAGAAGACCATGAATGTAATATTTTTGCATTTCAGCTAAATTTCCAGTTCTGTTTCTCACAGTATCCTTCAGGGCAAAATATCCAGCCTACAGCCCGACGAAAACATACTGTGATGGGTGAACAACAGGGAGATGTCTCATGCTCAAAGTGTTCAGTAAATGGAGTTGGATGAGGCTGGCAGCCAGTCATTAAAGGGGTTCTGCAAGGGTCCATTCTAGAGCCAGTTCTCTTCAGTGTTCTCATCAATGACTTGGATTCAGGACTTGGAGACATACTAAGTTTGCAGACAACACTAAGTTGAGAGGAAATGTTGACTCCCTTGATGGCTGAGGAGCCTTGTAGAGAGTTCCTGACAAAATATAGGCCTGGTAGTCACCAGCCACATGAAGCTTAAGAGCAAGTGATACATTCTGCACCTGGGACGGGGCAGCCATGGTTATATCTACTGACTGGGAGATGAAAGGTAGCTCCACGGGAAGGGATCTGGAGGTTCTGTTTGATTGCACATTGAAGCTGAGTCAGCAGTGTGCCCTGGCAGCCAAAGTGCCTGTTGTACCCTTGGGTGCACAGACCCAGTACTGCCAGTGGGAGAGGGACTGTCCCTGTACTGGTGCGGCCTCACCTCAAGGCCTGTGGCTTTGGGCAAGATATAAGAAGGATGCAAAGCTATTGGAGAATATCCAAAGGAGGTCTACAAAGATGGGGAAGGATCTGGAGAGGAAGATGAATGAGGAACAGCTGAGGTCCCTCGGTTTGTTCAGCCCAGAGGGAAGACTAATGGGAGGCCTCACAGCAGCCTGCAGCTTCTTCATGAGGGGAGCTGTATCTCAGCTCTCAGTGTAGACACTAAAAGTGATACAACTTTATTAACATGGAGATCCCTTGAAATTTTTTATCCCACTTTCCATCACAGGCCAGGGTGTACCCCCCAGCATGACTATACTTCTGCTAAACCTTGAGCTAAGTCCAACATTTCTGTGCTGCATTTTGCAAGGCAGATGTGTGCTCCAGCTGCTCTTCATGGTTTACACATCTCATGTCCTATCTCAAGAAGTACTCAGTTACCCAGGCTGGTCTAGCCAAGAGTTAGATCAGGAAGAATGTATAGGGCTGTGTCATGTGAGCTGGCCAGGGGATGTAAACCTGTGCCCCAAAGCTGGAGGGAGGGCCTGAGAAACTTCTGACCCCTTCCCAGCATGTATCCTGAGTAGTGTTTGTGCTTGTCTGCACGGTAGAAAGCACTTCTCTGCTTCAACTACTGCAGCCCTGCTCCAAGTTGTGAGCTTTCCTTCTCCCTGGCCATTAATTCACAACTGTGAATTACATTCTGTAGCCCATGCGTGGACACAGGCCAAGAGGGAGAGGTCTGGTCCTTTATTTCCTCACTTCAGCAGGTAAATGAGCACCTCTGCCATGTGCCCTGGAGAGAAAAGATGAAACTTTGCCTCCAACAATGCCAGCTGAGCTAGGATTTTACCTCACTGAAAGCCACGCCAGTATTTGGCTTGCTAATTTTCTATAGTTGTACTAAGAAATTGGAGAGATAAATAAGGAAATAGTAATGAATTTAGTTACAACATGTAAAAAACATGCACTAATCATGCCAATTTTACAGGCTTTTAAATTATTTATATGCATATATGTACACAAGTGCATGTATATACATGTATAATGGAAAGTGATTTATTGATTCATTTCCCTAAATGTGCACAGTGGTCTACTAATTGAAAGTGTACAAGTGCTATTCCAAACAGTAAAACTAGTGAATGTAATACAACAGAATTTAAATTAAACTGCCAAAAATAAAATTATTTCTTTAAGCACTATTTGCCACTTATGAATACTCCCAGACTGATTGGTATGGTTGTTTCAAGTCAGCAGTTGACTAAACTGTAGATAGCAAACACATTAGCAATTAGTCTGCCCTATTTTAACCATTAGGCAGAGCTGGTAATTCTCATGGTGCTATCCAGGCTGGAGCGATGCATGCTGTGCCCTCATGGCATCCACCACAAGAGAGACACTGGTTGTGTGTAGTGGCTTTGCATGCAGTGAGCTGGTGTGACTAATCCCTGGATTTGCTAAAATCCAGGTCAAGACCTTTTGACACCAAAAGCCTCTTACATCCTGCAGGCTATACCTGTTCTGGTTTGTTACACAAGTGAAATCCTGGGGGAGGTTGCTCACAGTCTCTGTCCTGCCCTTCTTTACCCCATCCATATTATCCTCCTGCTCTTTTCCCTTCTTTGCTCACAGGCCAAGGCAAAGACAGGCCTGACAGCTTTGATACAGATAAATATGTACTCTAGTTATGAAACTGAAAAGATTTCCTCAGTGTGTGGAATAAAAAATACATAATAACCTCTGTTTTCTAAATACAGTACAAGTATTTCACCTACCATGGAGCCTCTTAGGCTAGCTGTGATATTTGATAATATGCATCCCTCCACTGATTGATTAGATCACACTCAGAAAAAGGAGGGAGCTGATCATCTGGAATGAAACAGAGCTCAAGAAGGCTCTAGGGTGTCCAAAGCATTGGAAGCAAGCATCTCTGTGGTAAAGCTGCTTTCCCTCAAGTAGACTCAGTAGAACGGGAGCAGTTGGAAGCCAGAGAAATGCTGCATTTGCTGTAAGCATCACTGGCACAGAGAATAGACACAACAATACAGCATGAGTGCTAGGCAACAGGCAGGACTGCAACACTGCATGGCATGGCATGGCACAGCATGAGGCAGCTGCAGCAGAAGCTGTGGAATGGCTGGGAATGTTCTGCTAATTCTCCAGTCCTTGGCTTTGATGTTGGCTCTAGCACGGCCCTACATTTCAGACATCTGCAGCTGTAGCTGATGCTGGAAGTGTGCAGCAGCAGCAACATGCAGTTTGTATGAGTGTTGTCTTTCTGAATATAACCAGAAACCTGCAGGCCAATGCGCTGTTTGTGTGTGTAGGGGTGTCTGCAGGTAAGAGCGGGCTTCTCATTTTCTGCCTTCAGAGCATTTGCAGTGGCAGCTAGTCAGAGGCAAATATGCTGCCCCTCATCTCTGGGAGCTGTTTCTCATTAGACTGCAAGTTGTGACTTTTCTGTTGGTCTACTTTTGACCACTGTCCCCAACTCACTACTGAGAAACATTGGTGTGGGCTGGTCAGAAAGCTATTTTAAAGCCTGGCTTCACTCTAGGCTGGGAGGCATGTTGCATCACGAGGCTCCGCTCTCAATATTTCCAGTTCCCTTGCACGGGGATGTCTCCTCTGCCTGTCTGCCTGGTGGCTTTTTGCTAAGAAAGACTGGACTTCTGGGGGACAGTTCTCCTTATGGAGCTGCTGCTGGCCACAACCACCGTTGGCCACCTTATCTGCCTGCGTAACCTCTCAGTAGCAACTCTTAGTAGGGGGGTTTGCATTTCTGAGCAAATCTGCAGCAGATACCATGGCAGCCAGTTCCCTCCTTATCTAGCCTCCCTGTTCCAGTGCTGCAGTATATGAGCATCTACTCTCTCTCTGTTTTTTTTTTTCACAGATTAGTTTACTTTACTAGGGCTTCTCACAAATGCTTCTCAGAAGAGTTTTCTGGAGCAGATTGGAACTGTTTGCTTGTTTTTTTTCTACACTGATGACACTGAGCTTATTAAACCTGTTCTTCACAGATGGCCTTAGTTTATTTAAGATTTATAGATCCTTTGAATTTATGCTACCACTACCTTGGGTACATAGGCACAGTCCTCTCCTTAGGTACCCCCAGCTCTGGCTGCCAGCCAAGGAGCTCAGGAAAACCATCCCTGGCACTGAAATTTGAGAAGGCGTGGGAAGGCTGAATGGCTCTATTTTGATAGCCTTTTGTCTCTCCTAGCAGTTATGCTGAATGAGAATTTCTATCTTCTGAGAAGAAGTGCTTCTGGTTTAACTTAACCCTGCCCTTTATGGGATGAATAGGTGACATGGCACCTAGGCTTCATGTTTGCCACATGCCAGGTTGATTGGGCTAGAAATTTTGCAACAGGAATATACTTTTTAGTGACCAAAAAAGAGCATATGTCTTATTCCAGTTAATAGATCTTGGCAAATAAAATACAGGTAGCAACATATGAATTGCTATCCTTGCTTACAGCTCTAAGTAATAAAGCACAGAGGTTGCTGGTGTGCTTTCAGAGGCCGTTCAGCACCTAACTCACCAGACACATTGCAGAACAATTTTCCAGTGTGTTTTCTGAACTTTCAGCACCCAGGCACCCAGGAAAGTGTCTCCCTCCTCATGCACGTTGTCCCAGAATAGGTGGGAGATGCACAGTGCTTGGAGCAGCCCTTAGCCACACCACCACTGATTTCCAAATCTGGGACCTGGGAGGAGGTGATGTCAGGGCTGTCCT